GATAGAGTGTGAGGGGTCACAGCATGGATATGACTGCAGAGGTCAGTGGTGGCAGCCAGGGTCAGTCTTTGAATGGCCAGTGAATAAAATTTGACCCATTGGCAATAGGCACGCAATACTAGTGATGTGTCACCAGTATAGACCCAGTCTGATTATTGTGTTTACTGTGTGGTCTAACCTGTTTGATTGAGTCCAAGTTGGAATGGAAGCCTAATTCAGCTCCTGTGATCTCTTGGGGGGCTCAGCCTGGGTGCAGGGTACTATAAAGTGAGGGGCTAACTGACCATTTCCTGTCAGCTGCCTTGGCAAGCAGAGGGCATTTTTTAGCAAGTTCCCAGGTGATTCTGCTGTATGTGATCTGAGCCTGGAACTGAAGGTTTGGTTCATATCTTGTATCATATTTACTAGTGTACATCTTATTTTGTTTTATTTTTAACAGAAAATCATGAGAAACAATTTTCTTCCCCATGCTTCATGTAAGTGCCCATGGAGAATGGAAGCTTTAAAAACAGCCTCTTTTGGATAGGGAAAGAAGGAGGACTGGAAGCCAGAATCACAGGGAGGAAGTGGGCTAAGTGATGATACGTATATGGAGGGAGTTTCAGTCACTGAGGTGGAACCAAGTGTATGAGTCGTTAAATGTAAAACTGATGATCTGCTCTGTAAACCTTCACTCTATTCACAATAAAGTTGTTTTTTAAAAAGCCAGTTTTTTTGTTTTTTTTCATAGTCAGCACAGTTCACCCCCACCCTAAGCCAACACAGTGGATATATAAGGGACAGTGAAGCCAGGTCCCAGGAGGCAAAGGAGAGAAGGAGCTGGTTCTTACCACCTCTTCTTCCCTAGTCTGCCTTATTCTAAGTCCCCTCAAATCCCTTTGGACCATCATCTCTGCCATGTATTCAGTCTGATAAGAGTTCAGTTTATGTTCATCTTTGTAGGGAGATTTGAGAGCCAGATGTTGGAGCTGCAGTAGGCATTGTTGGTCTTTCTATCATGTACCAAATGAGAGGGAAATGCATGGCGTCAAGTGGCTTGAACATCTGATTTTGTTGAGAACATTTTAATATTGTTAAATTTTTCCAGTATACAAGTATAATACATACTTATTGTAGAAAATTGAAAAATTGTGAAAATGTTCCCTGAAATATCTCTTAAGAGACAATCACCTGGCCAAATCTGTATGTGTGAATGGATATCTAGATACATAATACATAGGTTTGTTGTTGTTAAGTGCTGTCAAGTTGGTTCCGACTCATAGTGACCCTGTATAGGGTTTCCAAGGAGCGAATGGTGAGCTTGAAGTGCCAACTTCATGGTTCAAACCAACCTTGCAGTCCAGTGCATTACCTCACAGCACCATACCAGGACTCACAGGTAGGTAACTTCATATACCTGAAATAATATGTGTTTAATAATTTGTAGCCTATTGTTGGTTTTGTTTTTTTTTTTTAAATAATAGTATAGTGATTTGTTAGCTTTTTTAATGACTGCATAGTACTGCATCATATGGGTAAACTCTTTTCTGCCCAACATTTAAGTTACTTCTATTTTGACCCATTCTTACCATCTCTGTACACTTGCCTGATTATCTCCATGGAATAAATCCTCACTTGCAGTAGAGCTACAAAAGAGGGTATTTGCATTTTAAATCTTGATATTTTTACCCTAGGGCATTCTCCCCTCCAGTGTAGACAGATTGATTCTCTCCCCCACTGCGTGTAAAAGTGCCTACTTCCCCACACTGAGGGGAAATGCTAACATCAACAGTAGGCTTCAACATCAGTGAATTCTCAACGTCAACATCAATAAATTTGCAGAGGATTTTGCAATGGCTTTGGTATCACCAGACAAATCAACATGACCATATAACTCAAATTTGTGCATAACACCCTTTCTGTTGAAATTGAATTAGAATTGAAGACTCATTTGGATCTGAAAATAACTAACCTATTGCCATTGAGTTGACTCCAGCTCATAGCGACCCAATAGGATAGAATAGAATTGCCCCTACAGGATTTCTGAAATGCTAACTGAAGGACCTTGTGCCTTATCAACAGAATGGCATTGTAACTACCCCCAATTGACACTGAATGGTCTGGCTTGAGCTTCAGATCTCCCTATTTCCCGGGAAGCTTGGGTCTCCATACCCCTGCCCAAATCTCCATTACCTCCCCACCCCCATTGTAAATTCGCCAGAACTGTACTCAGACCACAGGACCTTTAAATACCCCAGTCTGAAAGAGAACAGATGGGCTCTTGGTCTCCTTTGATGAGGTAAGAGTACCCCCTCCCAGGTCTACTCTCAATAAACCTGCCTTCTGTTGAAGCCAAGACTCTCTCCTTCGTCTCTTTATTCCTTTTATTTACATTTTGGCGCCCAACTTGGGGCCCGGGAGAGTAAGCCAAAGCAGTAGTCTGCGGAAGCTAGATAGGTGAATTCTTAGACGTGAGATTATCTTTTAATTCCGAGACATCTCAGAGTTGTGAGCAAATCAAGTCCAGTTGAGGAGGCTTGACCGGGGTTACTCTCTGGTAGCGACTCTAACCACCCACCATGGGCTGATTTCTCCCTAGTCATTCTCACAAGGAAGGTAAGTTGGTCTCCGAAAGTTTTCTCGAAGGTTCCTAGAGAACACCTCCTCCAGACCCCAGACATAAGGCCTCAGCAGGCCTTCCTTATATGTCTCAGGGACCTGCCATTTGAACAATACAGGGGATGCTCTGGTTGTTGTTCTGGCTCTCCCTCCTGTCTCCGGCCTCGATATTTCTCTCCTCAGGACGCCCTGTAGAGAAACATCTTGTGCCCTGGCCATCCCCTCTTACCTCTCCCTTTAATTTTGGGAACCCATATCTCAAAAACAGAAAAAGACACCACATTAAGGGTGTCTCTTGGTCAATTTCAAAAAAAGTTTCATTTAAAACCTTATAGTATGGAATTCTCAGATCTAGAGAAATTCTTCCAATGGAACGGAAAGTGGTCGGAGGTCCTCTTTATCTAAGCCTTTTCTGTCAACTACCATAACTCTCTTAAATGTCTATTTTCTTTACATTTCAAATTTCCCATTCCCACCAGTTAAATTCCACCATGTGGCAAGGCCTCATTCTAATCTCCACCCACTCCCAAACCTATCCTAGCTATTTAGCCACACTTTTCTCTGTTTCTCTTTCTCTCTCCAGCAAACTGCGAGAGATTGCAGATTCAGTCCGGGAGGATTGTGAGGGTCTGACTGGGGCACACCCCAGCAAACTCTCAAAACTCCTGAACTTAGCATCTCTTTCTCCGACTGCCCATATGAGTAGCCTGCTTTTCTCCTCTCTCTTCTCTCTTTCTCTCTCTCCCTCTGCAACTGTCTAAGAGGGATCACAGCCCCTTTCAGGCCAGGGCACCGCTGGTGGTTCTCATAACTCTTGTAAAGTCACTTTCGCCAACTGCTCACTTCCAGGTAGTCTCTTTTCTTTTACATGGTTCCCGCTCTCAGAGGCCATTCTGCCAGATTTTTCCTCATCCAACACCGGTCACAAAGTCCTGGGTCTAGATAAGTCATCCCCGACACTGTCCTGAGGATCCCAGGAGATTCTGCCTTGTCTGTTGATCCTCAGAGGATCACTTGGACTCCCCTGGCAGAGGGCTCAGGAAGCCCATAACCCTCATCAGGCCATCTGGTCCTACAGTTGGACCTTCAGGCAGTCTCCCTTCTCACCTGTGGGAAGGCAGACACCGCCTTTGGCAGTGACTCCTTGACCCACCCAAAACGGGAGCTGGGGCTTTGCAAACCACCCCCTCCCCTCTAGGCTGTCTTCTGAATAACCTAAAGAAATTATATCTAATAGAAATCAATCGGAAAAATAATTAATTGATTTTTGCAATATAGCCTGGTTGCAATTAGTCAGTGGCCAGAAAACAGCACTTTTGACTTACAGATTTTCAGAGACATTGACAACTTCTATAAAGAAATGGCAAAATGGCAGGTTCCCCACTTCCAAGCCTTTTTCTCCCTTCCCTCCTCAGTACCCCCACCCTCCTCTACCCCAACCCCCTGCATCCCCAGATTCCACAAATCAGAATAATCCCCCGGGCCAGTAACAAGGTCAAAAAATGATCCCTAACCCTTTTTCCTCTCAGAGAAGTTGCCAGCTATGAGGGCCCCACCCTTATCCATGTCCCTTTTTCCTCTCTGATTTCTCTCAAATTGAGACTAGATTAGGATCTTTCAGCAAAATTTAGAAAAGAATTTCTCTGTCTTTCACAGACTTTCTCCCTGACCTGGTAGGATGTCTATACCATCCTCAATAACACACTAAAGAAAGAAGAGAAAGATTTAATCTGGAGGGCAGCAGAAGCATATGCTGATGATATGCATGACCAAGCCCCTCCCCACTACCCTGTAGTACAGGAAGCAGTATCCCAAACTGATCCAAGGTGGGATTATCAGACTCCAGAAGAAGGGCCCACCAAGCTAGAATATAAGATCTCCTGCTTAACAGTAACTCTTTTCCTTACGGTAACTCTTTTCAGAAGTAAAACGTCTCATCTTGTTCCCTCAGAGCGGCTGGTATGTTTGAACTAATGACCTTGTGTCTAGCAGCCCAGTGCTTAAGTTACAGCTAATCTAGCCCTTTCATCTGATAGATAAGCACTGTTCTTCTGACCACACTACCTCCTCCCATCCCTTTTTTAAGAGCCCTGAAATTTCCCTGTCTCATGCACACACATCGTGTCTTCCCCCCTCCCAAATCCCGCTGAAGTTCTTTCTTTTCTCCTGTACAGAGATAGATCAAGTTGTTTGGTCCCTTGGCTCAGCATCTGCTGTCATGCTACCCAGAAACATTCTTCCAGGGGATGGTTTTACTTTTCTCTGATCAGCAGTTTAGATTATAGAGAACCAAATAGTTCTTCATGTGATGCCACTGCCCCATACACAGCCCCAGCACAGCACCAGTGCTTAACATCTGTTCTGTCAGCTTCTCCCTCATCGGACATGTCTTGCCTCCCCAGGTCTGACCTACCAGAAAGATGGCAACCAGCGCTGTCCCCAGTGACAACCTCCCCACGTACAAGCTGGTGGTGGTGGGCGATGGAGGTGTGGGCAAGAGCGCCCTCACCATCCAGTTTTTCCAGAAGATCTTTGTGCCTGACTACGACCCCACCATCGAAGACTCCTACCTGAAGCATACAGAGATTGACAATCAATGGGCCATCTTGGACGGTGAGACCTGGGTGGCAGCCCTGCATGGGGGTGGCATGTAGAGGGGGAAGGTTGGAGACTGCTGAAGGCTTCATCAGGACACAGTGGTTTCCTTCATGTTGCTATTATGGGACAGTTGGAACAAGGCATTCACGGTTTGTAGGGTGGATTCTGAACAGGGAAGGCCTTCTTAGGGGGCTTAAAAAGCTTCATGGACACCGAAATTTGTGTACTCAATTACAGAGGCAAGGCTAGACTTCTGCCAACTCAATGATGACATGTTTGTTTTTTCTTGCTGATCAGAAGCTCTGATTAACTATTACAGATGTCTTTAGCTAATAAAAAAAAAAAAAAGGGAAGGGGGACAAATAATTTCTTAATAAGCATAGTTTATTTAGCAGTTGTTCTTTGGAGGGAAAAAGCATCTTTTATCTGACACTGTTTCTAGTTTAGTCTAGATTAGCGGTTCTCAAAGTGTGGTAACCAGGCAAGAGGATCAGCATCAACAGGTAACTTATTAGAAATGCACATTCACAGGCCCCTCCTAATTCTGAGGATAGGGCCCAGCTTTCTGTGTTTTAACAAGCCCCACAGGTGATGCACAGTGATTTTGTAGGATTAGTGCTGGGCTGCAAACCGCAAAGTAAGCAGTTTGAGCCCACTAACCGCTCTGTAGGAGAAAGATTAGGCTTTCCAATCCTACAAAGATTTCAGACCTCAGAAACTATACAGGATCTCTCTGAATCGAAACTGACTGGATAGCACTTAACAACAAAAGTTGTTATAGTGCCATCAACTTCAGGTTACTGTATTTATTACTTTAGATTCTTACAGATTACTTTATCCGCTTGAGTCTCTTAATAATCCATTAATCATACAATGTCAGTCTAGTGAAAACTAAGTGAAAACCCGTTGGATACAAGTTCTGTTATCGGTGACTTGCAAATATTTTCTCGGCTTGCTTTTTTAAAAATGTTTTATTGTGAGTTAAGTGAAGGCTTACAGACAAGATGATTGGTTTTATATTTAACAAATTATACACTTCGTTTCATCTTAATGACTGCTGTTGTCTTGCTCTCTCCCTGTGATTACTCATGTACACATATCCTCTTTCAAATTATATATTTGTGGGATATGCAAATACATATATATCCCACTATTCTTCTCATACCCAGTTAGCTTGTGTTTCTGTATTAGATGTATTAGAGCTCCTAAATTTGTCCCTATCTTTTCATTGATGATCTTCATAGTTCTAGGTTTTATATGTAGGTCTTTAATCTACATTGTTTGTTTTTATATATGTTGTGAGATATGGGACTTGTTTCATTATTATGCAAATGGAGTTCCAGTTTTGCCTGTACCATTTGTTGAAGAGACTGTCTCTTCCCCATTTAATGCATTCTGGCCCCTTGTCAAAGGTCAGTTGACTGTATGTGGATGGATTTATTCCTGCGTTCTCAATTTTGTTCCATTGACCTATGCATCTTTTGTTGCACCAGTACCAGGCTATTTTGACTGCTGTGACTGTGTAGAAATTTTGAGATCAGGGAGTGAGAGACTTCCAACACTGTTGTTTATCTTAAGCTGTACTTTGCTTATTCAAGGTCTCTTTCCATATAGTTTGTAATCCTTTTTTCCATCTCTTTAAAGAATGATGTTGGAATCTGAATTGGGATTGAGTTATAATTATAGATTGCTTTGGGTGGTGTTGACATTTCACAATGTTAGGTCTTCCTATCTATGATCATGGTATATTCTTCCATTATTGTAAATCACTTTTGGTTTCTTGCGGTAGTGTTTTGTAGATTTCTTTGTATAGGTCTTTTATTTCTCTGGTTAGATTTATTCCTAAGTATTTCATCTTTTGGCTGGCTATTATAAATGGCATTATTTTCCTAATTTTCTTTTCAGAGCTGTCCTCATTAGTGTATAGGAATTTGATTGATTTTTGTATATTGATCTTGTACCTTGCCACTTTGCTGAATCTTTCAATGAGTTATAATAATTTTTTTTCTGAGCCTTTGATTTTCTATGTATAGGATCATATCATCTGCAAATAAAAACATTTTTACTTATTCTTTGCCAATTTGGATGCCTTTAATTTCCTTTCTTGCCATATAGCTCTGGCTATTGGCTTGCATTTTAATTTTCTTAACAGTGTGTCTTTCAGAGAAGACATTTTAAATTTCTATGCAGTTCAGTTTATTGATTTATTATATTACTGATCATGATTTTATTATATTGATCTTTGCCTAATCCAAGGTCACAAAGATTTTCTCCTGCATTTTCTTCTAGTTTAATGATTTTAGGTTTTACATTTAGGATTTTCATCCACCCTGAGTTGTATTTTTGTATATGGCATTGAAAGACAGTTCTTCTTCTTTTTTTTACATCTTTTTTTTACATCATCCAATTGTTCCAGCACTGTTTGTTGAAAAGACTGTCCTTTTCCCCCAGTGAATTAATATTGGACCTTTGGTGAAAATTGGTTGTCCATACAGGCATGTTCTATTTCTAGACAATTTATTCTGTTCCATTGGTCCATTAGATACCAATACCACATTATCTTGATAACTGCAACTTTTTAAGTTTTAAAGATAATGTTAAGTTTTCAACATTGTTCTTTTTCAAAGTTGCCTTGGCTCATCTAGGCCTTTTATATTTCCATATGAATTTTAAAGTCAGTTTGTTGATTTCTACAAAAAAACTCCCCTGGGATTTTGATTGAGATTATGAGTTCATTTTAGGAACAATTGACGTTGTAACAACTGTGGAGACTTGCAACCATTGAACATGGTATTTAGCTGTTTGTGTAGGTTTTCCACCACTCATCTGTCAATGTGTTATACTGTGGCAGAGTGTGTGTTGCTTTCATGCTAGAAGCTATGCCACTGGTATTTTAAATACCAGCAGGATCACCCATGGTAGATAGGTTTCAGCAGAGTTTACAGACTAAGGAGAAGAGGTAAACCACTTCTGAATGGTTAGCCATTGAAAACCCTATGAATAGCAACAGAACATTGTCTGCTAGGGTGCCAGAGAATGAGTCCCTCAGTTTGGAAGATGAGATGGAGATTGCATGATAGAATTTTGCAAGAACAATAACATCTTCATTGCAAATACCTTCTTTCAACAACAGAAATGGTGACTATACATGTGGATTTCACCAGATGGAACACACTGGAAATAAATCAACTACATCTACGGGAAGAGACAATGGACAAGCTCAATATCACCAGCCAAAATAAAACTAGGGTCAACTGTGGAACAGACCATCAGTTGGTCTTATGCAGGCTGAAGCTGAAGAAAATTAAAACAAGTCCACAAGAACCAAAATTAAAACATTGAGTATATTCCACTTGAATTTAGAAACCGTCTCAAAGACAGATTTGATGCATTAGACACTAACTGAAGATCAGAGGAATTGTGGGATGACATGAGAACATCATACATAAAGAAAGCAAAAAGTCAGGAGAGAAAAGACTAAAATGGATGTATTTATTATACTTGCTCTTGAACTTAGAGAAGCCAATGCAACTGGAAGAAATGATGAAAAAGAAGAGCTGAGCAGAAAATTTCAAAGGGCAGCTTGAGATGACAAAGTTAAGTATTACAATGAAATGTACAAAAACCTGGTGTTAGAAAAGCAAAAGGTAAGAATACGTTCAACATATCTCAAGATGAAAGAATTGGGAAAAAAAAACAAACTGAAGCCTTAAGTTGCAACATTGAAGGATTCTATGGGCAATATATAGAACGACCTAGGAAGCATTCAAATAAGATAGAAGAAGAAATATACAGATTCACTGTACCCAAAAGAACTGGTCAATGTTCAGTCATTTCAAGAGGGACAATATAATTAAGAACTGATGATATTGAAGGAAGACGTCCAAGCTGCACTGAAGGCATTGGGAAAAAAAACCAAGGTTCCAGGAATTAACTGAATACAAATTGAAATGTTTCAACAAACTGATGAAGTACTAATGGTACTCACTCATCTGTGCCAAGAATTTTGGAAGACAGTTACCTGAGCAGTTACCGGTGCCCATTCCAAAGAAAGGTGATCCAAAAAAGTAATGATAATATCTAACAATATCAATAATTTCAATTGCAAGTAAAATTTTGGTGAAATAATTCTTAAACGGTTGCAGCAGTACATGAGCAAGGAGCTGCCAGAAATTCAAGCTGGATTCAAAAAAGGATGTGGAATGAGGAACATCATTGCTGACGTCAGATCGATCTTGACTGAGAACAGAGAATACCAGACAGATGTTTGTTGTTATTATTGTTACATACTGTTGGGTCAGTCCTGACTCATAACAACCCTGTATAGAGTTTCCAAGGAGCGACTGGTGGATTTGAACCGTTGACCTTGCAGTTAGCAGTCCAGTGCTTGTCCTACAGCATCACACCAGGACTCCATGAAGATGTTTACTTGTGCTTTACTAACTATGCAAAGGCATTCAACTCTGTGGATCATAACAAAGTATGGAAAACATTGCAAAGAATGGGAATTTCCAAACACCTCATTGTGTTTGTGCAAAACCTGTACATAGACCAACAGGCAATTGTTCAAGCAGAACTAGGGGACAATTGAACAATTTTAAATTAGGAAAGTTGTAAGTCGGGGCTATATCCTTTCACCATACTTTTTCAATTTGTATGCTGAGCAAATAATCCACGAAGCTGGATTATATTAAGATTGGAGGAAGGCTCATTAGCAACCTGTGATATGCAGATGATACAACCTTGCTTGCTGAAAGTGAAGCACTTGTACTTGAAGCACTTGCTGATGAAGATGAAAGAATGCAGCCTTTAGTATGGATTACAATTCAAAATAAAACAAAACCCCTCACACCTGGATCATTAAATATCATCAGAATAAATGGAGAAAAGATTAAAGTTGTCAAAGACTTCATTTTGCTTGGATTCACAATCAACAGTCAAGAAATCAAACATACTGTATTGGGAAAATCTTCTGCAAAAGACCACTTTGAAGTGTTAAATCACAAAGATGTCGC